AATCAAACTAAACAAATGCAAAAGAAGAAGAGTTCTGAAAAATTGCAAGATAGTTTTCAGGACAGTGTAATATTTCATGATTCCATTTTTTCTCAGAATTTCTTCAACATGTTTTGTTCATGTTACACTTTTTTTCCCTTCTGAAGTCCCTTTTATGGATTTATCACCCTTGTAGTCCAGCTTTCTTTACAACATTGATAATGGTTTGATTTACACACATTCCAAGGAATTCAGAACTAAAAAGCAATCAAGGCCACCTATAAATCTGATTAAAAGCCTATCTTTCCATCAAATTAACACAACACCATAGATGTTCGTCCTCATCCTTCACCCTTTTATAGAGAAAAACAGCATGCAAATTCAACCCTCCTGTTGTGGACACTGTATCCGCTGAATCTAGTGCAGCAGATCTGATCACCTATGCAAACCCAGAGGGTGACGGTCTTTCCAATTTCTATCTGTTTTGTATCACTAAACTAATCTTGTGGCTTGATCATAATTCCTGTGGCACACAGCATTGAAAATGCAAAAGAAAGTATCCAGCATCTTCCATCAGCCACAAATCTCCTCTCCCTCCAACACTTTCATTAATGACAACCAAAATTATGGTTTTTATTACATAGCATTATACCAGTTAAAGGATGATGCTGTGAGAGTGTTTAAATGACAGGGATTATTTCCCTCCTTCTGATACATTAGCAGGCTTCTGCACCTGGAACTGTATTGGTTGCCTATTCAATCATGAATTTTCTACGCATGCCAGGCAGCTTTGCAGATTTTAAAAAAGGAAAGCAATGATCTGATACTGCCTACTGCATAGTTCTACTTTCCTACAAGTTGCCAAGTCAATCCCTGAGGTCCTGTTCTACTTGTTTTTGTCAGCCTGTGCTTTTTTATTCGAAATTGTTTGGAAATCATTTCTTTAGTTGCTGTGGTCTGGCATTCATTATCTAGGAGAATGGCTGATTCTTTTCCATCTCTATAGCATTAATCTGTTCCCCATTTTTGTTTGGTGTCTTCTACTGCAAAATATAGCTGCCACTTTAATGTAGCTTTCCTGTAAGAAGCTAACATAAATAATCCCCTCTCCTTTCTGAAGATATATTTTGGCCACATTCCAGAGCTACAAAAAGGTGAAGTTATTGATACAGACTAAAGGTACTTATACTAAGAATTTGATAATTTTCCCAGCTCTTTTCTCCAATTCCAATTATCAAACATGGGCAGTGTTTCCAGTGTGGCAGTTAGGAAAGGTTAGATTCTAGATTTACAATTCTTGTGTACAAATTAATGCAGATTATTCCATGACTTATTCTATGACTGTCCTCATTACATGACAATAGCTTTATAGTTCACTTCAAATGTAGCAAAACGCCTTTCTACCCCGTAGTCCCTTCCACTCATTTTTAGGTTTTGCCTCATAGTCCAACCCCAATGGCTACATTTTGCTCATTTGCTTGGAAGGCTCCCCTCGCAGGTTTCCAAGCTGGCACATGGACCACTGTTGAGCAGTGAACAAAATGCAGTTACCAGCACAATTGAGAAATAGTTTTACACAACATTCATCTTTGTTCCCTTTGCATCTGTTTTCCCAGGGGCAAATAAAAAGACACCTGTTTAGTGAAAAATCTCAGCAAACAAAGCACCTTTGAGCAGAGAAAGATGGTGATAAATAAGGACATCTTGGATGATAAGTATGGCCACCATTTTATATTTATACTAATTAGTGTCAGAAGGAAGAAGGGAGAAACTGGAATGGCAGGCTTGTTCTACCAAGCCATCTTAGCGCAGATGAAAACAGATGGATTGCTCTTTTCCCAACAAGGGTAAATAAAATTGATGGTAATCAAGCAATCTAGTGCCCAGGAAATGAATATAAATATAGCATTCTTCTCCCACCCAAATACTCTTTGTCTTATTGTATTTATTATTGTTACATTAATCTCCTTTTTATTAATAATTTGTTTAAATCACTTTAAGAAAGGAATAAAAAGAAGATGGAAAAAGACACAGTGAATGAAGGACACATTATCAATAAAGATGTGCAATTATCATAACATTTCTTAAATTCATTATTTCATTGATTAAATAATGTATAGAACCAGGTTCATTATATAATTTTAACAAATAATCAAAAGTGTCTGCAAAACTCAAAATATTAATACTGATAATACCACTACTTCCCATTGTTCTAAAAGTAAATGCCCATAATCATAGGAAAGAGAGAAAGAGAGAGATGGAAAAGAATAATTACAATTTTTAAAATGAAAAATAAACAAAAACAATATTCCCATTGGCTGGCGATTGTATTGTATTTATAGACTTTGAAATTGCTTCTATCTTATTCTAGATCAACTTTCTCCAACCTGATGCCTCCAAGAGCTGATGTTAAGAATTATAGTCCTGTGCATCTAGAGGATAATACATTGTAAAGGCTGCTTCAGAAACTGTCAGAATAATGGGAAGATATTTTATCTGTAATGTTGGAGTTTGATGACACGATCTCCTTGTTAGTCAGCTGTATATATCTGCCCAATTATTGTTTCTGGGCATCTGAGTTCTAAGTAGCCCTATTCTTAATAACAGTCCCTTTTATCTGGCAATCTTTTTTTTATATCTGCCAGCCAGTTTGGATGAATGAAACTATCTGGGTAATGAGATTCTTTTGAGTGCCGATAAAAATGGAAATAGCTCAAAACAATTTATTTTCTTTGGAAACATGAGAATAGACCCATTTAAAAATCATAAATACAAACAAAGGAAAACATTGATAACCAGACAATAAAAGATCACAAATGATATAGTTATGAGAAATGTTAATATTAACTTTGAAATCTAAAACTATGAACAATGGGGACAAAATGAACAGAAAGCTATACAGTAGTAGACTTCTGAAAAAGAGGAAAGCCATTTTCAGTTAAAAAGAAAAGGGTGATTATATTATGAGCACTTATGTTAGAATGATAAATGTTATCATCCTGGTCAGAATGGTTTTTGTATAGTGGATACTGTAGAGCAGGACTATCAAACTCGCGGCCTGCGAGCCAGATGTGTCATGTGTTAGCTATGCCCACACCCGATTTAGCAAAGGGTAAAAAAGTCATAATAGTCACATGATGCTGCCATGATAACACGAGTTTGATACCCCTGCTGTAGAGAAACAAATGACTACCATAACTAAGAAAAGAAACTGAAGAATCAACATAGCTCCTGCATGGAAATGATACCAAAAGGATACATATTCTTCTCAAAGCCTGCAAAATGTGCTAAAATGTGCAACGTTCAATCATCAGGTTAAAACCCCAAGGTTCAGTCACCTTGAAAACTCCTCTTGAGCAATCAAATGGCAGTTTTTTAGACAACTTTGGAATCAACAGACAAGCAACACATATTTTAACAGAATAACAGAATACCAGAGTGGGAAGGGACCTTGGACCTTTAATCCAGCCTCCTGCTCAAGCAGAAGATCCTATACTATTTCAGACAAATGGCTGCGCAATCTCTTCATAAAAAACCTCAAGTGATGGAGCATTCACAACTTCTGAGGGCAACTTGTCCCACTGATTTATTATTTTCACTGTCAGGAAATTTCTCCTTTAGTTCTAGCTTGCTTCTCTCCTTGATTAGTTTCAAACCATTGCTTCTTAAGAGAATCTAACTGTCAATACAGATCAATTCATTCCCTTTTGGAAATCTTGCAAGATTAGGTATACCAGGCATACCCTTTTACCAAATATCATTCGATAATGTGCATTAACAATATAATAAAATAAGTAAAACTCATATGAATTTCTTCCTTCCAAGTATCTCCTCTTTTAGTCCTATGGATCTAAGTTAAACAAATAGCAAAACTTTTCATTAAGAATGAGACAACAAAATCCCACTGGTAAATATGAAACTTCACAGTAAAGTTCATTTGGATGTCAAAAATAAAATAAAATAAAATAACAATAAAAACAAACCAAGATTACATCAAACTGTAGGAATACATTTATGCATGCATATATAACAGGGAAGAAGGAGATGTGATCATACTTGTATGTATGCATTTCGTGCAACCTGTTAATTTCACCACAATATGATTATCAAATAATTGGAGAATCTACAAACAAAGCTGTATTTCGAAATGTGCTACTAAAAGATTCTCTAAACTGTAAATTACAAGCTGGAATGAGAAATTGTAGCGTGGAAACTTAAACCTGAACCCTAATATAAAAAAGAGCTATTCTCAATTTTTAGCCCATTCCCAAAAAAGTGACTTCAGCAATATGAGATATTCTCTGAATTAAGTCAGTCCAAATAGAACATGATTAAATTGGAATTTAATTTAAATCTCATGAATTTTAGTTCTGTTGGAATCCAATGGAGTTGTATAGCCAGTTTCTATGCATATTCACTCAAAGGTAAGGCCATATACATAAAATGTGGCTTGTTGCTTTAATAACTATTTATAGGATTTTTTTTGTAACCTAATATTTATCTGGATAGCTTGCACTTACTATTTGCAAAAAGGCCAGACCTAAATGATAACCAAATCAAGATGGCATTATGTTGAAATAAACATGCTCAGCTGTCACTTTTAAAGCCTTCATTTGTCTATTTAATTTGGTATAAATTTTCTTTCCAATGCTTTGGTTCCAAAATTCATATTCAGAATGGATAGGGATCTCTGGAGGAGAGATCCAAAACAGTGACATTTTGGAGAATGCAATGCTAACATAAATAATCAGGTACATGTAACAATAGTAGTAACAGCAGATGGAGATAGAGGGCCAGTTAAATAGCGAATAAAACAAAATTCTACCAGAAGTAAAACATCTTTCTGAATTTCTATTTTAGAACAGCTAAGAGTTTTTGTTTGAGTAAAATGCAAAATGTCACTTCCCAGAGGAAAACATAATCTTAGCAATTGCAATACAAGATGGAATAACAAATCTAGAAAAACCACAGTAACAAGTCTGCAAGGGGATGGGGGGAGAGTTTTAAGAAAACATCCCTACCTCCATCACCTGATCCAGAGCCTGCATCTGTAGGAAGAAAAAGAAAAGGAAATAAAATACATCTGCATAAGAACAGCCCGTATGTTTGCAAAGCCAGTTTCTACTTCATTAAAAGTCTTCTAGCAAATTATACTTCTGATGTCATTCCTCTGCAAATTGATATACATTGTACTCTGTGTATTTTGATTTATCCATACTCTTTTTTGATGCGGAGATGTGCTTTTCAAGTGCCTTAAAGATGCTACTACTATTGCTACTCTTAATTCTGTTGCACAACCCAGTGATTACTAAGTTAGCTTTAACATGAGCATTACGTTGTCCTCTTGATATTTGATAAATATGTTGCATTTTTAAATATCAGTTTTTCAAAACAACCAAAATAAGCACTCAAGAGTCCTCAGGCCATCCATCCATCCATGATCTTTGATGCACAGACCAGAGTTCTGCATCCCCATAATACCAGCTCAGGTCTGTGATAGGCAACGGTCAATAGAAAAGATGATCAGGTGAAATGCTACACAGTCTTGTCTATGTCATCAGGATACAAATGGAGTATTATGCCCCAAACCTGTATGAGACAGAATATTGCAACTTATTCTGCTTTATGGCTTGGGCTGAAGATGGAGACAATTCCAGGACTCCATGAAACACTGAACTGGCCTATTGGAAAGCCTTGTCCTAACAGCAAAAGGAAGGTTTTCATTGCAGAAGATTTGAGAGGGGGCTGTAATTCTCCAGAGGTTCACATGAGATCCAAGGCCACTATTTGCCCACACCTAATCTAGACCAGTGTTTTTCAAACTTGGCAACTTTAAGATGTGTGGAGCATGCTGGCTGGAAATTCTGAGAGTTGAAGTCCACATATCTTAATATTGCTAACTCTGAAAAAACACAGTCCTATAATACAATCCTTCCAACAGTTCCAAGAAGGCTCCATACCCATTTGCACATCTCAGGTGACCCTGATGACACAAATAAACCTCCAGGTGGTTTCAACAACTCTCTAAAAGAATGCAAATGGACCAGCTGTCAGCAAGGAGTACAAATCCTTCCATTTCCTCACCATCCAGTCAGGGCTGAAGAAGCTTCTTGGATGAGAAGTGAAACGTCTTCAAAGAAAAACCAGAAAGTCCAGTTGTCTCTTTAAAAAAGCACTTTTGGGACAACCATGATCTGGATGACTGAGAATCTCCATAGACACTGGTCTACACACACTAACCCAAGAGCTAAACTGGGAAGAATGACAGCTTTAGCAAGCAGACCTCAAATGCAACAATAAAGGAACTGATTTACTAGGGACAGTATCAGAAAGCCAGGAGTGATCTGAACAAATTGGAACTGTTACAGCATATAACAGATACTTCAAGCATATAACAATTAAAGGTAATCCTTGGTGAACAACAATAATTGGGCCAGCAACAGCATTGCTAAGTGACAAATGTAATATCACATGACTGCACTAACTTAGGATAGCAGTTCTGGCAGTTCCAGCTGTGGTCAATAGATGAAACCCATATGCTTGTTACGTACTATGTTACATAATTCAATTTGCAACCTCCTGCTGGCTTCCCCAATGAATTTGCTTCTCAGAAGCTGGCAGTTGAAAATGACGATCACATGCCCCTAGGGCACTGTGACCTTCAAAATTGTGATCCAGTAGCCAAGTGCCTGAATCGCAATCATGTGACCATTAGATGCTGCAATAACCACTACTTTGAGGATTGGCATAAGACTGCTTGTTCAGTGCCACTGTACCTTCACACAGTCGCTAAACAAATTGTTATTAGTCTAGGACTACTTGCATATGCCTAGATAACTACTTAAGAAAGGCTCTAAGTTAAAAAGTCCCACAATTAAATTTCAAAGGCACATTCAACATCTGAAGAACATTAAAAATAGTTTTAAAAGAAATTTTGAATTTTAATCAGTTTTTTTAATGAATCTAAAAAGAAAGCAAACAAAGATCAGTGCCTTGCTTTAGGAGAAATTCTGGTCAGAAATGCTTTTCCATGTTGCAGATGATTAGGAAGGTAAAGGAACAACCTGCAAGATACAACATTGGAATTCTGTCCTAACGCTGGAAATCAAAATCCCAAATTATTTATAATCAGATCCAGTTAATTCAGAGCAGGCTGCAATCTCCCACTGTCATTCTGATTCTGATTTTTTTAAAAATGTGCATTTTAAAATGATACTGCAACACTTCTCAAATCATAGCTATGTTTTGGCAAACACAATAGAGCATCCATCACGCATCTAGCAAAAAAAAAAAAGGGGGGGGGGGACAGAGAGCGAGCCAGCAAACGATTTTATACATTTTTTAACACGCTGTGCTTGTTTTTCAGAGTAAGATTTAGAAATAGGACTATTTTATCACATTACTGCCAGTTGCAATGAAAAGTCCCTTGCAGCTGTAGCCTGCCCTCTGTGATTCCAAATGAAATTATTGTTCTTCTTATGTGCAGATCCTTCTGAATGGGAAGTCTATGAAATACCTGTTTAATCATTAATTTTATCTCGCAAGAGAAGGAAGATTTCATATTTTTTTCGTCCTCTCTCCTACTTGCCTCCTGAGCTAGCTCGTACCCCCAACCTCAGCTGGAAGAAACGTAGATTACCATTTCTGCAACTTGATCTGCAAGAAGAGGCCTTTGTCTCATTCCCTGCTGACCACAGAGGCAGTTTACATTCATCTTGAGCCATTCTGATGTTAAAGCGGCATTTTCTCTTCCCCCACAATACAAACTAAATAGTCTGCCATGCCTCATTTACGTTGACTTAGTCAAGATCTGCGTTTGATCCAACTCTCATTCATTCCTTGAAGATGCTGAGTCCACCCACCCACCCAAACCTTCTTTTCCTCTTCCCTGGCACTGTACTCTAGGACAGTTCTGCTTCTAGCAGTGGGACAATCTAATTCTTTCAAACTGAGAGTTCACCTCAGTACCAAAAGATCATCACTCCCCAGTTGCCCTGCCAGATCCAGCAGAAAATCCCCAATCTGCTCAGATGGCTGGCAAGACAAGGGAGGGAATAGTTCCTAAACTGCCAGTTTTCACCCCAGGATTGGAGAACTGCAGTCGAAGAATCTGTTTTTGCTCCCATTTGCTCCCCTTACAAGCTTTCCCAGCAATCAGCTGAAGCCCTTGGATGTGCAGCTTTTTTTTTTAAAGGGGGTCTTCACCATCCCTGTCATTTCCCACCCTGTGGATCAGCTCTCTCCAGAAAAGGTTTTACAGATTGATAGATAGACCCACGGGATGTCAAAAACCTACCTCCTTCCATAGGGAGAATAATAGGTAATTGTTGCACATTTGAATGGACTGGAAGAAGACTCCAGTGGTTCTCATACATTGTACATAATACATTGTAATGTATTATGGCATCTTAGTGGCCATGTGGCCTACATTCTGAGGCAAAATAAGCGACTCCTATAATAAACTCCATGCTGTTGCTCAAGACATAAGACCCCTTTTATTCCTTCAAGCGTAGGATTTACTTATGACTCACACACTGGTTGGCAATTCCCTCCACTTTTCTGTGAGATCTTTCCTCTGTTGAGAATATGAAAGAGAATAATCTAGTCCAAAGGGCCAAAAGCATTCTGGCCATTTGGGAGATTTCCAAAACAACTTTTTTTTTTTTTTAGCTTCCCAGGGTCAAACATTTGGATGAAGAACTGGTAAGAAATATCAGGGCTATAGAAAAGACACATGGAGGGAAAAAACCTCTAAAAGACAACTTGGCACATCATTTCCATCAAGGGATATTCCTTTTTCTGTTGCTATGATTTGCAATAACTTGGTTTAAAAGATTAGTCCCACTTCCAGATCTCACTATAAAAAGTGAACACAATGCTTTAACAGCAAAACATATGACTGTACACACCCTGAGTAGGTGATCTCCCATTAATTCAATCCCATGAAAAGGAGCACACTGGGTCTCCCATTAGCACTAAATACACACTTGGGGGGATGGGGGGAATCATACCCAATCTTCTTTCTTTTCAACCCTCTAAATGTTAGATTTGCACGACCAACATGAAACTCCTCAAAGGGCCAAGTTTTTATTCTACTTGACAGTTTCAATTATCAGGTCGGAGAAGCTCAACTATCCAATCAAAATCTAAATACATCTGCCCTACTCCCTTGTGACATTGTTGTTGAATTCCCTCCTATTTCTCTTATACTCAGAGACTAAAAATATCCTCAAACAATGACTGCTATTGTTGATAGCACTCCCCTATTCTTCTAGCTGGACAATACATTCTGCCCCAATCATTAGTTCTCTTCCTTCCTACAAAAGTCATAGAGCTATTTCTGGCTACCAGCCTCAGTTCTAGAATGCCATGACAAGAACTCAGAATGCATTTTCCATACAACAGTGGCATTAACTCACCAACTATGGCTTGAAAATATTTTAATGTTATTATCTATGCTGATGTTACTGTAATTTAACCGCCTCAGAGCTAGCTGAACACCTAAAAACTGCCACAAACAAATTAAATGTTGAGTAGCACAGCCTTTCTTGAACATATTCTTCCACTAGGAGAGGCAGCTTCTGCATTGGTAAATATTGTTTAGATGGATTTACACATCACACTAATATATAATATGGTTTGATATTGTAAATTGTAAGGTTGTTGCACCTTGATTAATGTATAATTGTGCTGCATGAACCTAGACTGTTGTGGCTTACTCAATAAATAAATCCCTGCTTAATGTAGTTGACCTTTGGGTGGCAAAATATCTTAAATTTATCAATTAAACAAATTTATCCACAATCAGATCTATTTCCCCCATTTTTTTTAATATTGATTAAGCAAAGCATCTTGGGAAACCTGGTTAGTCATACATTCTGCCATCTTTAACTGTGCACATTCAGCAAAACACTGCAGAATAAATAAAATGAATACTTGAAGAAACGGCAACAGTTTCCCAGGTAAGGAAAGAAGATGCCAAAGCAAGCAGAACTGATTGGGCTGCAGCATGAAAGGCACACTTTCAATTATTGATCTGGGATGAATCTGACAGGAGCACAAAGGAGTACTCATGAAAATACACAGTACTGGTTTGGCTCGCTTGTCAACGGATTCCTGGATAACAATATGTAGCACAAAGCCTGCTGTACCTACCAGTGGCACATGATCCTTCTGATGCCACAAGTATTTCACTTTGCTGCTTGCAGGCAGCTTGTCTCAGATAGCATTCGTTCTGATAGGTATCGCCATTGGAACCACACACAGGCACATAGTCGCTGTTACACTAATGAGCAAAAAAGAAAACAAGAGACAGTGCAGTTAGTAAAGATATACGCAGACGTGAAGCCCGTTCTACTTTTCATTCAGGTCCCTTACTGCAGATAGTTGCTAAAGAACAACATTGTAAGGTTGTAGTTAACATTCACTTTCCAAAACCTTTTCAGATGGGCAAGTTGCCCAGATGGAAGGGACACAATCCTCTATAATATTTCAGGGTTTCTGCTAGGATTAAGGAGTTCAGGATGATTTACAACCTACCCACCCTATGTTACTGGATTTATTCTTCTCTGTTCTTCCTTATTGTCTCCCTTCTATCAGTGTCTCTGTGCTGTTTTAATCTCAATCTGTCCTTTTTCAATTTGTTCTTCCTTTGGGCAAATACTCATTTAAAAATTAAAGGAAACCAAGCAAGGATGCTTATGATATTGCTTGATAAGGTTATATAAAAAAAGGAACAAGTACTGTAGGTAGACCAGGCAAAAGACTTGCAGAAGCCAGTATTAAGCTCTTTGGAATTTTTTTAAAATACATTTTAATCAATGGGACTGAATGGGAAGATTTTCCAGCTGGTGTGGATGGGTTCCTGATCTGGTCTCTCATGTAGAAAAATGTTCTGTGTAAGAATCAATTATTAGTGAGACAGGAAAATTAAAATACGGTATATCACAACTATTATTACTCCCTAATCAGGTCAAGGCTGTGGACAGAGCAGACCAGATCTGGGTCTAGCTGATATCATACCTGGGGTGTATTTGGAAGCATCCCACAAATATCTGTGCCGAATATTTCCTGCCTACTGTGTACACATCACTACTCTGTCTAATTTCTCTTTGACATAAGGGAGACACAGTGAAAGTTGACATGATGACCACATTTTATGGTCCCTTTGCAAGCCACTTAAAGAAGCCAAAGGATTAACCACTGTAGTAATGATTATGAAGATGATGGAAGAGTAGGCACAACCACTGAATGTTGCTCTGCTTTGGACCTTTTTGAAGAGATATTAAATTTTTGCTTGTCTTGAAGCAAGTGCAACTGCCACTGATAGGTTATTTCATCAGGCACTTAATTATGTGCTCTTATATCATATATAGTTCCATTGCTTCGTGGCAGTGGTTACAGAGGAATACCTTAGACCACCTTTAAGCCAAACATGCTCTCTCCAGTCTAAGGCTCCTGTCATTCCCAATCAAGTAGTCTGTGAGACAAGATGGCTCTTTCTTTCCTCATTTCATGGTCAAAAGCCAACTATTAGCCACAATGGGGCAGGTTCTTTCATCGCACCCAAGGATTGCTGCTTAGCTGAGCGAGTTGGTTGAAAACAGGTTGCTTAGTATACCCACTCTTCCAGTTCTGACACTTGCCTCACAATAGGACTGCCCTGGGTTCTTTACCTTAGACTGCACTGAGGAATTTGAAGGAAAATGGGTGTGGGCTGCTCAAAGTAAAGCCACAGTCCTGGGTTTTGCAAATCACAGTGTTGTTCTTGGGGTGGGGGTGGGAGGCGTTTATTACATATTAGCCAGTGTGGATGTTCACTCTTAACTTGCCATACCATTAGGAGTTGTGGACGAACAATGGAGCTAAATGTTTTCTCCTTGTGCATATTAACTATTTGCCTCCAGTTACAATTAGCTATTCCTTCTAAAATGGGGAATTGTGGTTTCCTGCTAGCTTATTAAATAGAGCACCAATCTGCTTAGGTAAATTGGCATCAAACTGCAGTACCTCATTAATATAATAGCTAACTGACCTAACCAGGCTGTAAGATGTAAGGCAGAGAAGTCAAATGCTTCCATTGTTCATCTTTTGTAAATTAAAGAGATAGCATCTAAACAAGCGGCAGAATATTACTGGCCCTGGCAAAACGAAACAAACACAAAGGTAAACCAAAGTTTCAAAGATGAACCTGACAGCCCTAATGACAGAAGGCTGTGCGAGTTCATATATAGTATGTATCATTGAGAAGGGAGTTATTGATTGGAAACTACTGCAATGACAACACAAGTAATACCAATTCAAACTTCATAATAAAAGATATTTTGTCTCAGCTATTCTTGTATGCAGCACTGCTTCTCAGTGCAGTTGATCTGACCCTCTTTTTTCCACTTCATGCAGAGCCAGACATATTAAGTCCAGAGTTATTCATATCATGGCAAAGTCATGTGGATGAGAACAAGAGAGCACCTGCAGTTAATGATTAATCCACACTCTTATCAGCCCACCTGAAATTCCTACTAGGCAAGGGAGGCCATCAGCTTTCTCATCTCCCATCAGAACAAAGGGACAGCTTCCCCCATTACCACCCTTGTTCATATTAATAAAAATAATTTGATTTTATGATTAAAATTAGGCAACCTACCGGGTGCAGTTATCACAAGAAAATCATACTCAGTGGCATTAGAGATACTTGGCTGTGCCCTGTACCAGACAATTATGCCAGGGATGTGATTATCTCATGATTACTGTACTCTTGATATGTCTCAATGTTTAATTAGAACAAATGTAATGATCAAGATGATTATTATTTACAAATCATAAGCTCTGTTTAAAACTAGTTAAAAATAGGAAGAAGTCACACTGCCAATTAGTTGTTCTACACTTAAATATCTCATGACATGCTACTGCAGGATGCAGATGAGGAAAAATGACAGTCCATCGACTGACTCCAAAGAGGAATGATTATATAGGCAAATTGAAAAAATTGTCCTAGTTGACACTTCCAAAAAGAAGCAAATTCCAGAAAATTATTACTACTTGGTCAATGTGGCATTTCAGTTAGCTATGAAATGAAACATCTTCCCATATCCCTTAAACCATAATGCTTCTGATCTTATTCATTCACACAGGCTTGAAGTCTAACTTTTACTAATCACTTGTCCAATGTACAAACTACAAGCCAATAAATCTCTGTGAAGATTCTCTGCTAAACTGGCAATTTTCAAATAACACTTTCCATTTTGATTTATCTGCTGAAATAGTCTGACAATGTCATGGAAAGGCGGTGTGATTTAATGATTACCTCCAGTTGTGGGATTCAAATAATTTAACAACTGGTTCTCTGCCTTAATTTCTTCCAACAACCAGTTCACCAAACTGCTCAGTAAGTTAACAACCAGTTCTCCCGAAGTGGTGCAAACTGGCTGAATCCCACCACTGATTACCTCTAGTCCAAAGCTAATAAATACTAGCTAGATCTAGGGTCAAATTCCCCAAATGGAAACACACTGGCTGACTTTTGGCCATTCACTGACTGAATTCAAATATAATATGAAATCATAATTGGATCTCATTTGTGTGTGTGTGCATGTGCGCATGAACACACACACCTTTGAGTCAACCTTGATTCCTAGCTATTGCTTGGGCAATTCCATGCAATTTTGTCTCTGTTTGGAACTCGTTTGCCATTGCTGGCTTCATGCTTAAGGCAGAATTAGAACTCACAGTCTTTCATCTTCCAGCTATATACATTATCCAAATTAGCTGCTTTGCTTCCTTTTGGCTTAGCATGAGGGATTGGTTTAAAATTTGTCCCATGTAACAAGCAACAGTTAAATAAATTATACTTTAGTGCAGTGATAGGCAACCAGAAAGCTATCATTAACCCCTGATAAAAATCTAGTTAATGTTGCTTACATCTGATAGCATAATGTTCTATTTCTTTTGCCTCAAAAATATTTAAAAAAAACCTCAGTGAGGCCTATTGCATTAATTCTATACTTAAACCTATCCCTCTCAATTTAACAGTAACTCTGGATGTTCAAAGCAGATGGTTCGAGGAAAGAAACTAGTGGAAACAGCAGAGCACAGCACAGCTAGAGCTAATAAAATATTAGGAAGAACTGACTTAAGAGACTTGAAATTTTAATTCTTAAAAAAAACAAAGAAGCTCAGAAATATGCCTGAGATGTCTAGATAGTGTAGTGTTATGTGGGAAAGACCTTGGGAGACGGGGCAAAGAGCTGCCCCTAGGGAACGGTCAGATAAGAGACAGAGTAGCCTGAACCTAGATAGCAGGCAGGCCAAGATGCTCAAAAAGAGACCCTCCCTAGTTTCTTGGAGAAGACGGTGGGGGGAACTGTACTTTCAAACTTGCAAGATCCTGTCAATGTAGCTTTACAATAAGGTAGAATTATCTCATCTGACTATGTTTCGTGTCTGGTTTACTTGGTGAGGCTGACATCAATCTCGCTAGTCTTTCCCACATGCTGTTACAAATAGAAATCGATTACAATCCCAAACATGAAGCATAGGGATATCAAAGAAGATTAAGAATACTAATTAACAGTTTGATTCCAAGCATACAAAATGAAAGTTTATAGGACTTCTTGGTTATTTGAGTAAACAATACCAGAACAAACCAACTTGAATATACATTTAACATTTCTATTCTGCTTTTCCCTTACTAATAATGGAACGAGCTTAGATTCCAAAAAGTAACTCAAATTTGTTGGCTGGTACTACAGATATTTCTCCAGTTACAACCATAATTGAGACCCAAATTTGTCTTGCTAAGTGAAACATTTGTTAAGTGAGCTTTGCCCCATTTTATGAATTTTCTTGCCACAATTGTTAAGTGAATCATTGCATTTGTTAAGTTAGTAACATGATTGTTACGTGAATCCAGATTCCCCGTTGACAGAAGGTTGCAAAAGCTGATCCCACGACCCCAGGACATTGCAACCATCATAAACATGAACCAGTTGCCAAGCATCTAAATTTTGATCATGCGACCAGGGGATGCTGCAGTGGTCATAAGTGTGAAAAGGGCCATAAGTCACTTTTTTCAGCTCCACTGTAACTTCAAACGGTCACTAAATGAACTGTTGTAAGTCGAGGACTACCTCTACAACTAATTAATCTGCCAACTAAATTTAGGATGAAATGAAGCTACCATAACTGTGTGGCAAAAATGACAAGTGGATGAAAGCTAATCGGTTGTCTTGGTTTTTGCCACCCAAAGATGCTTCAAGATTAGTAATTTTTCCATCAAGGTTTTGACCA